TGTGTTAGTATGAGTAGAGGGCTAATGCATGTGTAATTTACATTTAACGTGAGCTCCTGGTGACAGGCAGCGAAATATATTCTAAAAGACTATTGTGGGAGAAGGTATAAAACTTCAGAGTTTTTCTCTCTACTGGAGGAGGGGGGAGAGATTCCAAGTAGATTTTAATTCCCCTAATCATGAATTCATGGATAATGAATAGCTCCATTCAGGTACAATGAGTGAACTCTCTCCAAACTAATGCGGCATTAGTAGAATCTGATTGTTTATATTATTCTTATATATATTACTATTTACAGTATTCTATGATTGTATTTCCCACAAAAAGTCCCAGACTGACCCAGCATCTGGGAAGCATTGAACACACTTGGCTACAGCACATGGTACTGTGTTACTGCAGAGAATAATAAATTCCTGATCATTAATCATATTTCTAATCATAGGATAGGGAATTCAGAACGCCTGCTTCAGAACTCACTTCTGCACCATGCTGTACTTCGGCCATGACCCAACAAAGCAGTCAAACATGTCCTAAACATCAGAGAGATTACTCCCATACTTAGAGATAAGTACATGCGTAAGGGCATTGATGGATCAGGGCCAGTGTGTGCGGCACCTTGCAGGCTTGTTGACTGTCTGAAGGATGAGAGAGGAAATTTACCCTTCTCCCAATAATATATATCTTTGCACCATCGGCCAGGTGCACTCTGTAAAGCTTTCACCTTTCTTTAAAGCATAAGATATTAGAAGCTGGAGTGAGCTGTACTGTAACCTGTTATGGTGAATTCCTAGAATTGATAACTGGCATGTTCCTCTCATAGATTAAGTGTTTCTCATAGATACCAGGAGGAAACATGTAGCACTGGCCATGAAAGGACTTGGAGCAAACCGGCACTTCTGGAATACCTAGCACCGAACTCCTAGTCCAGCTCTTATGACCACACAAGGATATTGATGCATTTACAAATAGTTTTGTGACACAATGAATGCATCACTCATCTACTCCCTGAGAAAATTTTCACCCAGAAAGTCCTACGTTTCTTCCCAGGATGGCATCATTAGAAATAACTCACAAGGCTTACTTTGAAATCAGAGAGAATCTGTTTTCTCTGTATATTTTTCATTTTGGCTTTCAAGACTCTTTTCAAATGAGGGAATGTGCATGTTCAGGCTTTTGAGAATAAATTATTAAGGATATGGAAATAAGAGGGGCCCATCTGGTTCCCTAGCTCAGTGGGTCTCATGCCAGTGTAACAATATGATTTTTATAGCCATATTGGAAGGCCTGTAGCCATATTGAGAGGCCTACAGCCTTCCTCTGCAGCCAGCTTGAAGAGCAGTGGCCATTAGCTGTAAAGCCTGGAGTTACAGGCTCATGGTCTATCTAAAGTGCATTAAAATGGTGTCAAACCAGCCTGTTAAGAAGGAGAGTCCATCCTAATCAGAGATGGTCTAGGTGCCAAGGGATTGGACTCGATGACCTCTCAAGGTCCCTTCCAGCTCTAGTATTCTATGATTCTAATGGCACCCACTATCACCAGATAAAGAAACAGATCTCAAGACGGCTAAAGAAAACCTTGTTTAATAGCACGTTGTCTGGCAAGAAACTACTTATTAATAGTTGGGTTTGTGGAATCCTTATTCTATGATTATGGTCCTCACTTTCCTATTGTTGCCTGTCTGATCTCTGTCTGGTTTTTAATTGTTTCTGTTCACCGTATAATTAAGTTTGCTAGATGTAAATCAACTAAGGTGGAGGGGTAGGATCAGCTGGGTAATTCTGTTACAGTATGTTAGTAAAATAATTGGTTAAGGAATAGCTAAGCAGCACTCAAGTGTCACTATATAAACTTGGGTCCAAGAAAGAGACCAACAGGAAAGGTAAAAGGAAGCAAGAAACAGAAAGAAGAAGGAGGAAAGACCTGGAAGCAGAACTCACCTCCAAGACACAGCCTAAGACCAGAGCTACCAGGACCTCTCTAAATGACTGTGACATGCGGTAACCAGGATTCAGACAAGACTGAACTTGCCTGGCCAGCAGGGGAAGTTTGCCTGCCATTATCAGGATTGGTGATCATGGCACTGTGTACTTAGCATGTGTATTCTGCTTGCTTGGTCATTGCTAATAAATAACCAGTAAGGATATTACTGTGTAAGGCTCTTTCAATGGTAAAAGATCCTGCAAGCCCTCCGGAAGTTACGCTCTGAGCCCCAGGAATTGGGTACGGGTGGGTATTTACATTAACAAGGTTACACCTTGAGCCCTAGGAACTGAGTGAAGGAGTGTGTCCCTAAAGTGTGGGAGTGACAGAGAAATCTGTGCAGGTAACACCAGGAGGGAGCTAAGATGGTGTAATGGACTAGTGCACATGGTGGTCTGGTTTAGCAGTCACAGCTGGCCTAAGATCTGCCCACTACGGGCAGCAGTCACCAGACACTTACTATGCTGTAACTGGTGCAAAATTGATCTGGACCACAGTCCAGTGAAGTATTGAAGCACGTGCACCCCCTGAGGGCCAATGGGACCATGCACGTGTTTGGAGTGAGGCGCATGTTTGCGCATCTCTCTGACCTCGGCCCTGCTGTCTTTCCCTGCCCATGCAGACTTTTTCCAGCGTGGGTATTGTTACATGGCCATGCACGAGTTAAAACAGCTTTACAGACCACTCAGGAACATCACATTCTACTACTTACACATATTTAGAGTGTCTCCGCTCCTGAGTCATTCTGGGGGCCCTACTCCACTAATGAAGTCACGTGGGATTGGGTGGGAGAACATGCTCATTAGCTTCGAAAGGGCAAAGTTATTTGTGGGCTAATGAAGCTAAATTCTTGATTAGGGAAATCCGGTCTCCCAGAAGAGCAGCGAAATCTGTGTACCTGACACCTATCATATTATACATAGGCATGCTTCTGTCTGTCTCTGTAACGGGATCCCTGGGGTGCAGCCTGGGACTATGAAGCAGCTGTGCCCCTTAACTCTCCAGCTTGGGCTGTCTCTCACAATGCTTTGCTAGGACAAGCAGCAAACCCCTTCAGGAGTTGTGATTACCCAGCTAGCTTGCAGGCATGCTCCCAGAGCCACTCATAAATCCCAACGAAAAAGGCACCAAGCGCTGGCCCTCAGCAATCTACCATCTTGCACTGGCCAAGATGAGCAGTGCAAAGATATTAATTGCTCAGCCCTATTAGCCTGGGCAACAACTAAAGTAACCAGTTTTTCATCACTCCAGTGGGTATTGCAGTCCTTAATATACAGGTTTGTATAGTCCTGAAAAAAAGAGGAAGAATGGCTCTTGCGCAAGAGGGTTTTGTTTGTGCAAAAGCCTCCTGCGCAAAAACAGAGCCTCATTAATTATGCAAATGAGGTGTGGCGATATTCCATGCTACACCTCATTTGCATTTTTTTGGCGCAAGAGGAGGCATTGTAGACATAGCCCAAGTGTGGTTCATTATCCCAGATAGTAGCACTTAAACCACTTACAGCAAGAGAGAAGAACAAAAGAGCTTTACAGCCTTAACAGAATACCAGCTGGCTGTATAGCTCAAGGTGCAGAGACTCCTCTACTAAACTCTAGAGCTCCCAGGTTCAAATCCCACCAGCGGTAGTTATATATTTGGAGAACCCAGACATGTCTGGTGGGCACTGCTGTGTCCTCTGGCAAGGTAAAACAATTCCCTTGGTGTGGCCTCATAGAATCACAGAAGTTTAGGGTTGGTAGAGACCTTGGGAATCATTTAGTCCAGCCCCCTATTCCAAGCAGGACCGATCCCAACTAAATCATCCTAGCCAGAGTTTTGTCAAACTTGGCCTTAAAAAGCCTCTCAGGATGGAGATTCCACCACCTCCCTAGGCAACCCATTCCAGCGCGTCACCAACCCTCCTAGGGAAATAGTTTTTCCTAATATCCAATCTAGACCTCCCCCACTGCAACTTGAGACCATTGCTCCTCGTTCTGTCATCTGCCAACTCTGAGAATAACCTGGCTCCATCCTCTTTGAAACCCCCCCTTCAGGAAGTTGAAGGCTTCTATCAAATCCCCCCTCACTCTTCTCTTCTGCAGACTAATTAAGACCAGTTCACTCAGCGTTTCCTAATAAGTCACATGCCCCAGCCTCGCCCGCCCCCCCCCCATCATTTTCGTTGCCCTCCGCTGGACTCTCCAATTTGTCCACATCCTTTCGCTAATGGGGGTGGGGAGAGCCCTAAATTGTACACTGTATTCCAGATGTGGCCTCATCAGTGCTGAATAGAGGGGAATAATCACTTCCCCCGATTTGCTGAGAATACTCCTATTCATGCAGCCCTTTTCAGCAACAAAGGTACGCTGTTGACTCATATCCAGCTTCTCATCCACTGTCATCCCTCGGTCCTTTTCTGCCAAACTGCTGCCTAACCAGTCTGTCCCCAGCCTGTAACAGTGCTTGGGATTCTTCCATTCCAAGGGCAGGACTCTTATTGAACCTCATCAGATTTATTTTGTCCCAGTCCCCCAATACCTTCTCCCTGCCCTCCAGCATATCTACCTCTTCTTCCCCCAGCCCCCAGCTTAGTGAATTTGATGAAGGTGTGAACTAACCCATCAGCCACATAATGAATGAAGATATCGACCAAAATCAGGATTGACCCTGGGGGTTCTCCACTTGATACTAGCGGCCAACTAGACATCAAGCCATTGATCACTAGACGCTTAGCTGGACAATCCAGCCAGATTTCTATCCCTCATATAGTCCATGCATCCAGGCCATACTTCTTTAACTCATTGGCAAGAATATTATGCGAGACCATATCAAAAGCTTTGCTAAAGTCAAGGTAGATCACATCCACTGCTTTCCCCATAGCTGCAAAGGGGCTGCCCCACTCTGGCCAGAAGAGGTTAAAGCAGGCTGGAGGGACCCTGCACAGAGCCCCAGCCAATCAGGGAGAGGCTTTTAGGGAGCCAACTAGAAGGCAGCTTGCTGGAGCGCCCCTATTATAAGCAGCTGCTCAGCCGCTGAGAGGGCATTTGGCTCCTGACCACTGAAGCTGCAGGACGGGTTTCCAAGGAAGCAGAAGCACCTTTGACGGAATTATGATGGGCCAGCTCAGAGGAGGTGGAGAGGGAAGCTCTGGTCTGTAACTTACACCCCAGGTTGGTGCAAGGGGTCACAGGGAAGTGGCCCTGAGAACAAGATGCAATAGGGAGAAGTGAAGGAGGGCAAGACAAAGCTACTGCCTGAGAGTCCCTGGGCTGGGATGCAGAGCAGTGGGTGGATCCAGCCCCCCTGACCTGCCTTCCTCCTTTGCACAACATGTAGCCACCATTTGTGCCTGGCCTTTACAGGCTGCAGTTTGCCCCTGAGGTGCAGGGCTAGGTGTTGGTTGTGAGTGGCCAGTGCAAGACTGAGGACTGCTGATCTCCCCAGAAGGGGGTGAGAAACCTGAGCAATGGGCACAGCCAGAGGGCAGTGTCCTGAAAGCCACAGTCCTGGAAGTGGCAAGGGTGTGGAGCTAGAGTGTGGAAAGAGCACTGCGTGCTGAAGGGCAAGACACCAGCCAGAAGGGGGTGCCCTGCAGCGGTCTGAGTTAATTCCCGGTGGCGTGACCAACAAAGCACTGTGGCGGTGAGTGCCAACCATCACACACAGCTGTCAAAGCCCTTGTTGTTCTTCCCACCCCTTGCAACTCCAATTGCACTTTGGTCTCTTGATCAGGGTGTCTCACCTCTTTTAATAAAGTATCCCTTTTTTTAAATATATAAGTGCCCCCAATACCTTATATATTGTTTTCAGACACGCACACTTTCCTTCTGCCATTGCAACACATTTGTTTAAACAACTTAATCGTAGCGGGGTGGGCGATGAAATTTTTGGGTGTAAAAAGTACAAAAATAAAGCTCTATAAAACTTAATTTCAGTTTTCTCCAAATTTTAGGTGTGTTGATGTACCCCTCCCCTGACTTCTCTCGAGTACCTCTAAAGGTACTCGTACCACTGATTGAGAAACACCGTTCTTGATTATACCCCTGCATGCTCAGGCAATGTTTTTATACTGCCCCCGATCATCTGTCCAAATTTCTGCTTCTTGTATGCTTCCTTTTTGTTATCTAGGGTCACCGAAGATTTCTGTGTTAACCAAGCCTGCCATATTTGCTGTTCGTTCTGCACATTGAGATGGTTTGTTCCTACTGCCTCTAAGATTTCTTTAAAATACAGGACTCCTGCAGGTGAGTTGCTGCATGATAGCTCCTTTGCCGGACAATAGCTAGTGATGTCTGTTCGACCCCACCTACCCTGGGGTTGGCTTCCTCCCTTGCTATATCACTGTAGAGCTAGTATCTCAAACTAACACCATATTTTGGTGAAACTCCATCCAATGCAATTCTTATAATTTTACATGCATTAATGATACTCATATTTAGATAAAGAAATAGATTTCAGCAGATTATAATATTTCCCTGATACTTCACATGGCATGCTTAATATATAATATCAGTTACATACAGATGAGAAATATGGGGGTGACAGGGTGCTCCCCCAAGGCACAATCTCACACACATACAATATTGTGTGTGTGTGTGTGTGTGTGTGTGTGTGTGTGTGTGTGTGTGTGTAACATGTCTTTGTATAAACATTCATGTTAAATTAAAGCTACAAATATCTATCTCCAAACAAAGGATTTTAACTCAAAGTAATAGTTACGAAAATAGAAGCCAAGCAGTTTTTATTGTCTCTTTATAATTAACTCCAGGGATGGAATCCAATTACAAATGCTCAATGTTGCCCTGCGGCACAGCATCTATGAAAATGGGAGTGCAGGGAGAACGACCAAGTTTAAATGATTCAGGTAAAAATTAAATCCATGGCTGTATTTGATAATTAAGAACACCATCTCCATTAGCTCGTCTTGCTCTTAATGAACTGTGCTATTATTTTTACATTTGATTACAGAAGTTTTATGCCAGCCATTTCACCTTTATTGCTTTTGAAAATCAGTCTCCTTGTCTGTGTGCCAAGTGCAGGAGATGTGTGTAATTATATCATGTTATTTCCTCAATAAAACATTCATTTTTCTTGTCACCCCGACCTACTCAGGGGAAGTTTTCAAAGCTTTGTAATTATGTCCACATGGAGGAGGTGGGGCAGGGTGTTTCTGAACATCTCCCATATTATCTATGCCTAGGAGGGCGGGGAGCACAGATTTGGAGGCGCATGGAAGGATTGGTTCTCTCTCTGGGCAGTGCATAAATAGGAAAAATGGATTTTCCAATCTGCAGCATGTTTAAATACACAATCAATAGCATTTCACATCTTCTGAAAACTATATTTTTAAAGCCATGCATTTGCTCAGCTGCAGTATTACAATTATTGCTCTTTTAAGACTAGAAGCCAACCACTTTCATCCTCCTTCTAGCTGCCCTTTAGAGATTTCCACATTCCTACCTTAAGTTGACAGCTAAAACCCACTTTTGCTGTGGAACCCACGGGTTCATCATCCTATTCCACCTGTCCCTCTCCCAACACAATTTTAAACTGTTGCTGGAAATGAGAAATGGTGGAGGGGGAGGGAGGAGAGCATAGGAGGCAGGAATGGGGCTAGACCACCATGACCATCTCATCTAACCTCCTGCTCTCAGAAGGGGGAGAATATCAGTCACTAATTCCTGCAGTGGAGGGACATTTTCTTCCCCTAGGGTTCAGTTCTCCACTTGCCTACTACCTCAGCCAGTTATTTGTGTCACTGCATCCCACTCTGTAAAATATAATGGCACTAACCTGGGTGCTGGGAGATTTAACTGACATTTGTGGAGTACTTTGAGTGTGTCGGATGAAAGGAGCAATAGAGGCACCAGATACCAATGCGTTCATTAACTAAGTCCCTATGGGCTGTATGGCTTGTCTCAGGTTACACATTTTACCTGCTAATGCTGCCAAGGCCGAAAACAGCACTTTTGTGTCCTGGTGACAGCACCTCTCCCAGGTGCAGCAGGAGGATGTTTCCTTTGCGCTTTCTGAATTGAAATGCAATTTCCACAGCCATCCGGTTCCTAAGGAAGAGAGAGCATTTTTGCCTTTGTTCGAGTGCAGCGACACTGGGCTTTGAGAAGGAGATATAAATGCATAAACATGCTTTGTGCTGTGTTCAGCACCTCCAAAGGGAAACGGAGGGATGCTCTTAGAGGGAAGGAGGGAGGAAAGCTGCTCTTGAATGAATTTGCTTTTGACATTTGATTTTTCTGAAACAGGAACCTGCAGTCTCTGAGCTCACCAGAGGCATTGCCCCAGGCAGTACAGGACTTTTATAGACTAGGTCACAGCCCTTATGCATATTTTATAAGCTCTCTCAAATAGCACTTTGCCTGCCAAAGGCTAAATAAGGTTAGAGGTCAAGCCACTTCCCTAGAAGGGAAAGGGTGCAAACCTTCTCATGGGGGAAGACAAACAGATCAAACATTTCTAGAGGAAAATAAATCTGGGAGTGGCTAGGGGGTTTGGGGTGAGCGCCCTGCCCAGGCTGATAATTGCCAAAGAAAGCTGATGAGATCACAACAGTAGTGTAAGCTCTCCTTGGCGAAAGCTACCTCACCATGAGCATGTGCAGAACTTAGTACAATGGGCTCATGATCTTAGCTTATGCCTCTAGGTGCTGCCCTGGTACAAATAAATTAATAGAAGTTGTAGTAGTGGGAGGGACTCTGGAGATCTAGGTGCTATTCCTGCCTCAGTCTACTTGTTTCAGACTTTGGCAAGTTGTTTAATCCACCTGTGCCTCAGTTCCCCAGCTGCACAGAGGGGCCGGGTAATAACTGTTTCCTCCTTTGCATCGTGAGGATAAATGTCCTGTCTGGAAGGTGCTCAGTCTGATGCTAGGGGCCATGAACATAAGTAAATTGCTAGGTAATGGGATGCATGTTGGACATGGACTCGGCAAGGCACTAACACATCCCAGACAACCATCAGATTTACATTTGTTACTAAAACAGCAACTCGAAATAACATTGGGTCATTAAATTGTGGAGTGCTCTGTGCCCAGGAAATCCTAAATAAGCCACTGACTCAAAAGGGTGAATTTTCTTAAGTTGCACCAGGAGAGGAGGGGCAAGGAGCCCATCAGTGGAGAAGTTGATAACCTTGTTCAGGATTTGGAGGATTAGCACCTGGGTAATGGAGACCAGTTGATCATAATACATTTGCTGATTAATACAGGGGTGATTTTTTTTCTGCCTTAATAAGGATGTGGTGAAACTGCCCACTCAGGAAACATGTTTGAATGCAGTGACCATGGCCTAAATACTGTGATTAAATTGACATTTAAGACATTTCATTAAATTAGACAGTGAATTCTTCTAACCCTCTGCAAGAAGCACTCTTAGCCCTAAGAGGAAGTAGGGGCGAAGGGCCCTATAAGCATCCCACACTAGAACTGGAAGGATCTCGAAAGATAAGAGCGCTATTGCTACTCCAGGTTAAGAAAGTGCTTCTTTAGGTCAAGTGATAGAGCAGGGGTGGGAAATGTAAGGCCCAGGGGCCAAATCTGGCCCATGGCTTGCTTGGATCTGGCTCCCAAGGGTTGGGGTTCTCCCTCACATCCCCAGCATGTGGGAGTCAGTGCTGGCACTCCTGCCCTGCAGCCACCCTTCCCTCTCCCCATGGGGCTGGATTTGGCAGGGAGGAGCCACAAGCCTCACGGGACAGAGTCAGGCAAGCCTGGGGCTGGATCTGACCCACAGGTTCTGCCTGGTGGGGCGGGAGAAGAAGCAGTTCTGTACACTGGAGCTCCCCCCCCCCCCCCCCCAGGGAAAT